TGGCAGGGGATGGAGACTGACGTGGTGCAGTATGTGCGGTGCTGTAGTCGCTGTGTGGTTAGCAAGTCTCCCGAGCCTGAGGCGAGAGCACCACTTGAAAGCGTTTCGACCTCTAGACCCCTGGAGTTGGTTTGTGTGGACTTTTGGTCGGCTGAGGACTCCTCCAACATGTCCCTAGATGTTCTTGTCGTTACTGACCATTTTACTAAGCTGGCCCAGGCTTACCTCTGCCCCAACCAATCTGCTAAGGCTGTAGCGCAACAACTCTGGAACAACTTTTTCTGTGTGTATGGCTTTCCTGAGCGTGTACACTCGGACCAAGGAGCCAATTTTGAAAGTAGTCTGATTGAGGAGATGCTCCTGGTTGCTGGTGTTCATAAATCTCACACTACACCCTACCACCCCATGGGCAATGGAGCTGTTGAGAGGTTCAACCGCACCCTCGGTAATATGATCAGAGCTCTTCCACCAAAGGCCAAACACCGATGGCCCCAGCTACTGAAATCTCTCACTTTCTCTTACAATGCGACAGTACATGAGACCACAGGCTTTGCCCCATTCCAACTGATGTTTGGCAGGACTCCCAGGCTGCCTGTTGACTTGTTGTTTGGCTCTGTTCTGTTAAATGATCAGGTGGTGGATTATGATGCCTATGTGCAGTGTCTCCGCCGTGATTTGGCAGACGCTATGAGGGTTGCCCAGTGCTCCACCACCAAGCAGCAGCGGAGACAGGAAAACCTTTATAACAAGAAGCTTAAGGGTTCCCCGGTGGATGTTGGTGACAGAGTTCTGCTAGCCAACAAAGGTGAACGAGGAAAAAGAAAACTGGCTGATCGCTGGGATGGCCACCTTTACACTGTTGTGGGGAAACAGGAGAACACTCACACCTTCAGGATTAGGAATTGTGCCACAAACCAGGAGAAAGTAGTCCACAGGAATCTCATCATGCCTGTAAACTTCCTGCCCCTCCCGACCGGGTCTGAGGATGATTCTGGTGGCAGTGATCTGAACACTGGTGCTTTAGAGGATTCCATGCTGGGAGATGAGATGTGCTCTGTTTCGCTGCCTAGCTGTGCACCTGAAGACAGGACGGTGTCCTGGGTCTCTGGACTCCCAGCCACCACCGTGAATCCACTGACTGCTTCGTCAGATGCTCCTGGTAATGATGACCCTGATGAGACTGTGATTGACCTACCTGTTGAACGGGAAGGTCCAACAGTCTTGACTGACTCTCAAGCAGTTGCCTCTGAGCCCCTAATTGACGCACAGCCTGCTGACAGCGGTTCTCTTGTCAGGTCGGATGAGCGTTGTCCTCGAATTAGCGCAGCTTGCAGTGAGGGGTCATTGGGGGTGAGGACTAGGTGTGGGAGGGCTGTTAGACCTGTTTTGAGGCTTATCCAGCAAATGCACCAGAAAGCTTTGTCATGGTTATAATGTTTTTTTTTTGAGTACTTGTGAGTGTGACATGTTCTATGTCTCTTTTTGACTGTTGGGATGAGTTTTATGTATTTTCTCTGTACGGTAGAGCCCTGTATAGGACCACCAGTAGTGTGTGTCTCTGGGTGGGATGTATTGTATTGTACTGTACTGTATGTATTCTTTGATATCTTGTATATTAACATGTGTAAACATTCCTTTTTACGGGTTATATGTGTTCTGGTCGTCTGTGTACCTACACGCGCCACACCTCTTTCCCCATTACCACATTGAGATAACGAGCGGCGGGTCGTTGCGTTCCCTCCTCCACGAGGCGTGCGTAACAACATGTATACGGGCATGTTTTCCTGTGGGTGTTGAAAGGACTTGCTACCCTTTCTCATTCTAATTCTTAAGGGATAGCCATTGGCTGGACTACGAGGTGTCAATGATTGAAATGGCACTGTACATTTACGTTTGCGAGACATCTTCGTTTATTTTTATTATACTGAATATTCAAAAAAATTTTTTTTTTTTTTTTCTGTTTTCATGTTGTGAATGACTTACCTGGTATGTTCGTGGTTTGGTTGAATTTTGTTTCTTTGGGGGGGTTTGGATGAGCAAGTGGAGATCAGCAGGGGGGAATGTAACAGGTGTTTGTCTCCACTTGCCATCGCTAAGAGTCATGACAGGGTGTCACGTGGGTGCCCTCTAGTGGGTCCCTGCGGACGTGGGTGCGACACCCTGTAGCTAAAAAGTTAGTCTGCTGCAGGGTGTGTAACTGTTATGATGCCACGAGGTTCCTTCTGAGGACTTAACTTCTGTGTGTTCGCCAGGTGTCTTAACGTCACACAATAAACGGCCGATACGAGCCGAATGTGGTCCGTGTCCTGGTGGTGATTTTAACAACACAACGCAAGCAAGAGTACAACCTCTACACCGCTCTTCGTTCTCCAGAGAGAACCAGAAAATAAAGCCTGGATTAAAATCCCAACTACTTACGCAAAATAACTAGTATTCATTGTCTTTTTAAACTTAATCTGTTAAAATGGACCCTGAACTCCTGCTTTCTCTGCGAGTAGATCTTTTCCAAAGAGCACACAGGGGAAACATGAAACATCTGGATGCAGGCAGGGCGTCACTTCTCTGCAGACAAACAATTACATTTCCCCCGGGGCCATATCCACAACACACTCTCCCTCCACGATCATAAAGGCATAGAGTTTAATTTTTAGTCCTATCCTCGCTCAAGATGCTTGCAATTTCTAACGATACAGAGAGAGAAAAAAGAAAACGTCAGACGTGCAGTGTGCATGAGGTCACTGGCTCTCGTCTGTTGCCAGAACCCAAAGGTCACCAATGGAAACAAAATAGTTCCTGTCTTGTAGATATGACCTGAACCAGCTTAAGACTGTGCCTGAGAGCCCCACCCAAGAAGCCAAAGATGTTTGTCTGTGTGTGTGTGTGTGTGTGTGCACAGAGGGAGGGAGGGAGGGAGGGAGGGAGGGGGAAAGCACAAGTAGTCATGTTTCACCGCATTGGAAACGGTCCCAGTGTGCATCCCACTGTGCCCCCCCTCAACCCCTCCCCGTCCTGTCTCCACAACTCTTGGCTTCGCCTTCATATTGTTGTCCTTTTCTCTACTGTGTTCATTATCTGTGCACTCTCACAAGCAATAGCCCTGAGATACACAGACACTTCAGTCTCAAAAAGACAGACCTGCCCCTCTGTCTTGTGTTTTTTTTTGGTGTGAGGATACCCAGGTGTGTCACGATGGATGCAGACGACTGGAGAGTCCCTCACCACTCCAGATAGTTTTCTATACAAATTTAGGGTACGTCTATTAAAGGAGATCCAGGATTAAAGAAGACACTACTTTGAAGCCATGATTTTAAGACCTTCCCACCGTCTGTCCACATACTTATCCCCTCAGTGACTCATGCCGGCTAGTCTCTGATAATTACAATTTAAAAGTTTACCCAGAGGACTTGCTCTATTCCCTCCTGTGTTTTTTCAAACGACACAAAATCCTTCCAGAAGCTGTGCCCCTTTCAGGCCAAGAGGACTTACAGACAGTGATAAAGCACTTCGCTTGGCAATACCGCATTATTTAAAAAATATTATTTTGACCACTAGCAGCAAAAGTGTATGTGAGCATTTTTCACTGATCCGCTCCCATGTGATGGTATCAGCGTTACTATGAAATTGTAGCACTCATCCTCAGCTTACCCCCTCAAGTAAACACCCATTTCCTTTCATAGCATTGTTGCCTTAGGCACTGTTAGCATCATTAGCTGCGAGCCGCATGCTAAAGGGTCACCATGATGAGAACTGCTGTGAGCAGTCTTGTATGATGCGCTGTTATTTAGTGGAGAATAAAGGTTTATGATGTGTAATTTTATCTTACATTTTTCACAATTCAAATTTTTTCACATCAACTTTGTCTACAGACTACAGTTGTGTTCATGCGGAAGACAAATGGAAAAACGCTATGCATTGTTTGTTTAACTTTTGCATGACATCTTAGTTTAGCGTGTTAGCATGCAGACATTTTGTAATTAGCACTAAACTTGGCGGTGGTTCTAATAAGAATGTCATACGTTTTGCAGGTGTTTAGTTATAAACAAAGTGATTAAAATGCTGAATTTTGACTTAAGAAGGATTTTACTCAACTTCCATGTGAGATAACATCATTACATGAAAAAGCAAAACACACATTCTGGAAACAGATGTTCAGATGATGAAGTTGTCCAAGCCAGCTGTTATCCATCATCCAAGCCCTGTCATCCTTTTAACCACATCTCTGCTGACATCCAGTGGCCACGACCAATCACAGCAGTATGATACAACTATATTAATCTACCAAATTATTATAAAATCAACCTTAATATGTCAACAAATTGAAATTGAATAACTAAAACGTACGGCTGATCTCGTCCACTATACTCTAAGTGTGTGTGATATACCATTGACAAGCTAATAAATATGATATGAGGAGTGTTTGTCCTCTAAATCAAGGACAATCCACCACTAAGCAAACTTTGTAATTCTTTAAGAGTGTCCGTCTGTGTGTGTGTCTGTGTGTGTGCGTGTCATGTGTGTGGGCCTGCCGATGATGGCACAACCGTGTGAAAGCAAATGGGTTAATCTTCAGAGGGCGAACAGCCGATGTTTGATAGCTAATCCCTTGTCAGGGCACATTAGTTGTCACATGTCGGTGACGCTAATTCAACAAATCCCGGGGGTGTAAGCTGCGTAAATAGAGTACATACTGATACTCTTTAGCAAGGTCTAACCTATTCAATACATGGACAACTACTGCAGACGTATATTTAAATATGATCAAACATTGCCAAAAAATTATGTCTTATTACGCTCTGTGACACAGCCGCCGAAACTATAGCTGAATGGGGAAAGATGACTGCTCAATTTTGATTACACGATAAACTATTTATGAAAGTCACATGTCTTTGTACTAAATAAATCTCTTAAATTCACTTGTGGTCTCTGACCGCACTGGAGAATTCTTGCTGTCTTTGATGTGATTGGCTCCGTCTTTGTCTCTGACCGGCCAAGCCCCTCCCTTGGGCTTTAGCTTCTGAGCTGCCGTTGATCCAGGGCGACACCATAAGGTGCTGTCTACTTGCCGGTTTACGTGTGTGGTGTCATGTATTGTGTCCATATTGTTTATCATATTGTTAACAGCCTCGGCCTGTCTACATCAAGCGGCGTTTAGTGGCTTCTTCAGGGCTTTGAGAATCAGAGATGTTACTTCCATCACAAGTCGAGAGAATATGGAGACTGACAGACAAGCTGCAGAGGATTTGACAACAACAGGTCAGTCCACTGAACGGCACAGACTGTGTTCACTCAGTTGAGTGTTTATTTACTGCGTATTTGCAGTAGCCCACTCACCCCACCCACCCAATTCAGACACACAGAAATATAACAGAGGTTGAATATGGTGGAGGAGAAATATGGACAGGTTTCCATTGAGTTGTCTGTACAGCAAACGCTAAAAGGATGGATTGTTACTCTTCTCTGTGCTTGTAGAAAACTAGACCCTCTAAAATAACACAAACACAGAATATAAATCCCAAGCATCGACTATTACTGTATTAAGTATTGTTGTCAACTGGTCCGCTCTCACCGCCACACCTAAACCCACTTTAAAGGGATTTGAAGGAAGCGATGCTGAGGAAGCGTGCGTGCTTGTGTTTGAACATTAAGAGAAGGTCTTAGCGCAATGATGCTTCTCAGGACGTGTTGTCATTAAGACAAAGGATAAAGCTGGGCTCAGCCCTCTCATTCGTCCCGCAGAAGGGGAAAGGATGATCGCGTTTAACTCGTCATGTGTTTGTTATTTCTCCTTAAGGAAGGCCTTACTGAGGCCAACGATGGCCCTCGCTGAGCTGAAATGGAGTTTATTTCAGGCCGAAGCCCTCGTCTGCTCGTTGCTGGTCCTACCGTTCCTCCACACAGCCACGGGTACGGCCACGTCACGTATGTTCCCATAGGAGTTTGGTTCTTGGGCAGAAATGAATGGGCTTCTTACACTCTGCACATGTGTTTGCATTGACGCAGGAATGTCAGGGTGGGATGGATGTTTGGATGGTCAGGATGTGGTCACAACGATCAGAGAAAACAGCCATTCAGGAGAAGTTGTTGCTGAACTCATGGCTGAAACCACAATGGACGGGGTTCACTGGCGCCTGGATGGGAAAGATGCTGATTGGTTTTTCTTGGATGAAGGGAGCATCCGGCTGAACGCATCAGCTGACAGGGTCCTCGACCGAGAGGTAAACTGAGTCAGCGTGTGCCCTCTGAAACACTGATCTGAGTGTTGGAACTCTCCAATAATAAGGAAGCCCAAAAGAAATAGAGTGGCGATGTCATAGGAAAGGCTTTTGACGTTATGGCTAAAGGAAATTGTGTTTAAATGTACAGCAAACTGTCCCCAAACTGATCCCTGCAGCCTGGTTCTTGGACAAAACACAACCTCTCACTGTGATCCTCTCCCCAGCTGATCTACATCACGGCAGCTGCTAAGGGGTCAACCAGATTAGCGATCTCTCACTCTCTATTTGCTCTCTAGCCAAAAAAAGACAAGCTGTTATCATAGCTAGAAAGTTTACTTGGCATGTGATCAGGATAGTTGGTTATTAAAGACTCCTCCCTTTTAGAGTGTCATATTTTTAGTCTAACTGTAATCATGAAATGAAAAACAAGTTTATATATATATAATATATATTAGGTGTCTTACCAGGAGCCTCGTCATAGAGTTACATCTTGGTAATCATCTCAAAATGTGAATTAGAGATGTTCCAGTAAGAAGTTACATAGTTATTCGTGATGGTGACTGATTGTCAAAACCCCAAAGTGAAGCCAACAGGAGAGTGTGACACAAAAACATATTTTGTGCCTCCCCCACCTGATTTTATAGAATCGTTCGTTTTAATTAATCCTAAATTCATGAATGCAAAAAGATGAATGGTCAACTATTCGGGGTCCCCCTTGTATTAAATAAAGGACTTCTTTGCTTCCTCATGTTGTCTCTGTCAGGCTCAGGTTCCTGTCCTAATGGCTGAGTTATCATGTTACCAGGACGACGCACTTCAGGTACACTTGATCAACCTTCATCTTATGTATAACTCTTAAGCGTTTCATCCAACACTCAAACCTCTAGTCACACACTTTAATTTATCTGAAGTTGATTATTTTGATGAAGAGGAATTCTTTCCCAGTCTTTAAGCAATTGTCTGTATGGCGCACATACTGATGGAAGCACTCATTGTACTACTATTACTATTACTACTACTGCTACTGCTACTGCTACTGTTCTCTGTTCTGGGAGAAAATGCCGCCCCTGAGAAACCACAGATAAAGGAAAAATGTAACTCCAAAGTGTTGTTAAGTCAGGGACCCATGGAGAGAAGGATATTGAGCCACTATTCAGCTGATTCGCTCTCTCAGCGACACCTAAACCGACTCTGAGGGAATTTGCGGAAATTCAGCAGAGCAAACCTCTATGTGTCTTTTTTGGATGTTGTAGAGTGTGTACAGGATCATGGTGGAGGTTCTCAATGAGAACGATAATTCGCCTGTGTTTGCAAAAGACGCGGCCCAGTCTCTTACTATCAACGAGGTGAGGCACCTTCTCAAATATAAGGATACGCATAGACAGAGCGTAGGTTACTAAAGTACCAGCGTGTTTTCCAGCTGACTCCAGTGAACACTGTGGTGTTCACTGTCCAGGCCAAAGATGCAGATAATGACAAGATCATTTACTCCATCGACCAGGCGTCAGTAAGTTCTACTCTTCAAACGAAAAGAAAAACTCCATCAAATAAGCAACTATTGTTAATGTTTTGGTGTGTGTCCTTCAGCCGGATGCAGAGTACTTCAGGGTTGATCTCCCCAACAGTGGGCAGGTGATCCTATTCAGGCCTCTTGATTATGAGACCAAAACCCTGCTCACTGTCACCATCCACGCCTGCGTAAGCTATGAACATTTCATTTTGGATGGTTTTTTAATAAATATATCGACACGTGAACGCTATTTAGATGACCAGTTAGTTGCCCCCAAAATAAATATGATTTTTTTTGTCGTCCCAGGAAATGAACACTGCTGAGCGCTTCAGTGCCAGCACCAACATGACCATCAACGTCCAGGATGGAGATGACCAGTACCCACAGTTCGTGCCCTGCGAGCTCCTTTTCCAGGATGAAACCAGTCGCATCTGCACCAGTCCTTTGTACACAGTAAACGTCACAGATGTGGAAGAGGTCAGATGCTAAAGCCCCATCCGCCCCCTAATTCACACTACACACAGACATACATGGTCTTTGTATGACCATGGATTAGGACCAACAATTGTGTGTTTGTTGCAGGACATTGTGTTGGACTTCTGGCCTGGTCCCATTCATGCTGTGGATGGAGACAGAGGACTCAGCTCTCCACTCAGCTATGCCATTATCTCAGGTACCGTCCACACCGACACATTTCAATATTAAAAAACGGGCTGCGCTTAGGCCTGAAACTGCGTTTGTGTTTGTGATGATAGGAAACGATGATGGGTGTTTCCTGATGGACAGAGAAACGGGGGAGGTGAAAATGATTTGCGTAGTTGAAGACAAACTCACAACCCCAGAGCTGCAGCTACAGGTCATGGTAAGGCTCACATACTTAAGTGCTCTCTGCCTTCTCACTCTCTGGACCAATCTCAGTGATCTGTTTTCTCGTCTTGCACGCAGGCGTATCAGGACGACGACCCTAGGAAGTATTCTGTTGCCACGGTGTTGGTCAGAGTTCTGGCCGTGAACCAGTTTTATCCAAAGTTTGACACAGCTGAATATCAAGGCTTTGTAACTGCCGGAAAGACCACGGCCTCTCTGGTCAACACTTATGGAAGCAAAGCACTGGTGTTAAAAGTGCAAGATCGAGACTTTAAGCACGTACGCATTGCACTGCTCGACCACACACACATTACATACACACTCAAAGTACAATATTTTATCACCTATTTTATAATCTTTTTAAACAGGGCTTCAATCCCATGATCCACTTCACCTTCAGTCCTACATCCAATCACACAGAAATCTACCAAATCACACAGGAGGGTCTTCTGATTGCCAGGACCAATCAACTCCGACCAAAACAGATACACTTTCTAGAGGTGAGCCTCAGTCAAAACCCAGTTTTATCCGTTGATTAAAATGAAGGACACTATTGATTCTTCCTTCTCATTTTGTCAGCTTACCGATATCGTCCTATTTTATTCACGCTAAGTGTTTTGACAGATTCCCTAATTTGCATGGAAGCCATTTGAGATGGATGGTGCTTCATTAGGCTGACTGCACAAGGGCAAAATAAATGGAAAACCCCAAATGTTTCGCCGGGCACACTCTAACTGTGCAGTATCGTCTTCATGTACTATAATTACACAGTAAACAAGGGATGTTGTCAAGTTATTTTCCATTTTAATGAACATATCCGGTTGCAACAACTCAAAGCACATAAAACCTCACACGTGCTGCTGCATGGTGCCGCAAGTATTAACATAAACCCCTTTGACTCACGAGACAGTCGAGACAAAGGTTTTGAGATGTGATGAACAAAAGTCTAAATCATTTGCAGGTAACGGCAAGAGACCAGGAGTCAGGCGAGGCCACATTTGCCACTGTGGTGGTGGATGTGTTATCTGTAGGGCAATCAAGTAAGGGCACGAGTACTTCGCAACCTTTCTGAGATTTCTCAGCTTTTTGAGGAAATGCATCAACCATAACTTGTGCGGACAAGATGTTTTCAGAGATATTTCAGAGAGGATGCATCCCTCTCAGTCAGTTTCCTGTATCTGTGTGAGCAGTAGACACTGCTCTGGGTGAACAGGATGGATCTCGGTAGTTGGTCCTCGTGCCTGTTCAAACTTTTAATTGAAAAAACCTGCAAACTCTTGTATGGGTAGGAATAGTTTTGATGTCAATTATTACACACGGGCATTGAGTATGATTCCTGATCTGCATCTGTATGTCTGTCCGCACACACCTCAGTCCCCAACAGTTCACTGGGGGATACGCATCCGGTAAGCTGCACTTTGGGCAAAGCCATGTTCCTGTGCATGGTCTTCATGTCCTTCCTCGGATGCACCCTGTCTGTGGTGGTGTGGCTGAAGAGGAAACACAAGGGAAAGAGGAACCCACTGCAAAGAGGCTGCGTGGCTCAAGGAAAACACCCCAATGTGGTAAGATCCCTCAATATATTCTCATATTTACCAAGATTTGATAGCCAGTGATTTTCTGAAATATTCTTCATGGTATTTTCTCCCACAGAGCTTATGTTGGTTCCAACTGGTGAGTAAATACCAGTACCGGAGTTAATGTTCATCCTTTATTTCCGGTACCTTTCCTTTAATAACTTTCATCGTATATTTGTCATGATCTCAATTTCTCAGTTATGTCTCTGAACCATACTTCAACGTAAATGAACAGAATACAGTTTGACAAAAACTATTCCAAATGATTTGCCTTTTCTGAAGCTTTTGACTACATCTCCTGTCCTTCATCACCGGATGGAGTCTCTCAGTTGACACGGAGAGCATTCAGTGGTTACCGTACAAGACCTACGTATGGGACACAAAGCATTTTCATGACAACTGAACAAATCCAGCTGTTGATAAAGACCACGAGATGTGGTTGGAAGCTTCGGCAAGCCACAACAAGTTGGATCTTGTTTTGAGAATTGTGTGTGTCAAACTGCTGCTTCAATGGTCCAGGAACGCTGTACAAAGTGAGGCACACTTCAACATACAATGCAAGACACTGCAATGGCGGTTTAACTTTTGCTCTCCAGGTGAGTCACCGTAGCGGCATGCCGCACACGGAGAAAGTACACCGCAACAATGAAGAATTTGGAACTTGCAACCCTTCCTTCAGCTTACTAGACAACCCCGTCATCAACACCCACCAAGACCTGCCCTCATACCGGGGACCCGCTCCGCCCAGGAAGGACGTTGCACCCGACGCCGGCTTCACCCCCACTGGCACCGCGACCAGCCCCGTGGTTGTCACTGATGGCGATTCTACACCAATCAAATGCTCCTCCTGGTCACCCGCCTTTCACCCGGCCCCCGTGGACGTGACCCTCACGCGCATGGCTCCACCCAAAGAAAAGTCTTCCGACGCACCGCCCGACGTCAGCCCCGGCCCCGCAACCCCCGACGCCACCAGCACGCCACCCGATTCACGAACCACAGAAACAACCAGCGAGGAGGAGACTGGCGACGCTGACGCCAGCCCCTCCTCCGAATGCAGTGTTCCATGCAGCCACACCCGAATCGCTTCTGCGGAAATAGACAAACCTTTCCGCAAGCTCCGCGTGAAGACGCCCCCGTATTCCCCTTTGCTGTCCTCACTGCCTCCCACGCAGACGGGCACACCCCTGTCCACCCCCGAGCGTGCACCTCTAAAGGCCACGTTCGTGCAGATAGAAACATCTCCCCTCGATACACCTCCCGTAACTCCACGGCCATCGTCCATGACTCCGAGCGCAGAGCCAAACCAACCCTCCACATCCACGGACCCAATAGAGGGGTCAGGACGCCCCAGCGGAGCTTCAGACGCCGGCGGTCCGTCTCAGGACCGGAGGCCATCGACAAACGTGGGAAACAGGCTGGTCATCCGCCAGCCGGGGGAGGTCGATGATGCTGATGATGATGGTTTCCTGGGAGATAAAGATGCAGACAAGAACAATGAGGATGAGGATAGCGATGAGTTGGACCCAGACGACGAAGAGCTGCTGATAGTGATGGCTCGATGTAATCCCATTTTCATCACATTTAGGAAGTGATGCCATGATGTGTTTTCATTCAACCTGTTGAAGCGTAGCGTAGCTAATCATTAACAAACAAAGCTCCACCTTACAGATGAACTGCAAAAGAACTAACAAAATGATGAATATTTCAAGTAGAATTTGCTCATAATAAAGCCTTTGGATTTTCTGTCATGCTAGCTACTAGTTCATTACTTTGCGTGTAGCTGAGAAACGTTAAGAAGTAATTCAGTGTAAACTCTAAAGCACACAAAGAAAAGAATATCTACTTCTCCAATGTGTTACACCTATGCTTCATGCTAAGACTAAGGCTAAGCTCAAGCTTGGCTTGTTGGCATCAATGAACCTCAGAGCATGCATGTTTTAAACGCTGCGACATGACAGCAACAACACCTCAAGTCTCTGGGCTTTGGATTCTGGACTGTACGGTTAACATGAGCTGTCCAAAACAATCACCACACATCATTAACATGAGTTACAGGATGTTTCAACCTAAATAACCCATACGGCTAAACCATTCACCAAGGGTCTCGTGTTGTGCAATGACTTTTGACTTCAACCCCTACTTAGATATTGGTGGGTGCATGCAGAGTGCGGCGTACCTGGTGACAATACTTGCTTTCTTGGGGGTACTTTGGGGGCTTAATTGAATTGTGGATCACAGCAATAAATATGCATTCAATTTAAATTTCCCAATTGTTACGAATGAATGTTGGCATAAATGAAAGTCGGGTAACGTTGTTTATATTACATTTTAATTTTTTGAATTTGAGAAACAATTTGAAATGTTACTCAAATAAAACATACACATGTGGGCAACCGTTATGCTTTTGTGGAAATACATTTTCATATTGAAGATAAGTTTTCATTTTAGTAAAGTATGGGCTTCCATAGAGTGCAGTGTGACTGGCAAGCCTGACCAGAATGAGAGTACATACAGAACTAGCACGCAAACATATTAATAAACACACAACCGGAAAGGATTGTGACACAATTATTAAACATATTAACTTGCAGTTCAGATAAGCTGATGCCCAAAGTGGAGTTAACTGGGTCATTGAAGCAACTAAATGGCCAATTGAAATTAGAGTATGTTTACTTGTTAAGGGGTAAGAAGAATCTCAACCAAGCTTCAGTTGCTTCATATTGACAGACCTGGAAAATAAACATCTAAAGATTTCACTTGTGATACTTGTTAAGATTTTAAAAAGCCCATGTTTGATTGATTATGGGAAGGTCAACAGGGGCAAATAAATCTGCTTAAGCAGATGGCGAGAGGAAAAAGAGTGAAACAACAGGCCGGAGATCAGAGGGTCAACAGCCTGAAGGAAAGCAGGAAACAGCATTACCTAAATAGGAAGAAAGCGGAGCTGGACATTGATTCTAACGGAACACAGATCATTTGAAACCGCTAAGTACTAACACATGAGATTATCATAAAAGCAGTTATTGTAAATGTGAGGATGTTTTTGGACTAGAGAAAAAACCCATGCATTTGTTATTCTTTACACAAAAGCAACTTCCTGAGAACAATAGCTTGAGTGCGATGAACACCCTGTCACTTGTAATAGTAGCTACCACGTGAAAACACCTGGCAACTGGTACTTCAAGTCAAAAGAAGTTGGCAAACAAATAATTTAGTTGTTTTTTATTGAGAACGTTCCTCTCAATCACAAAAACTGGACTTGATTGTAAGAGTGCTCAGTTTGCTCAGGTTATAAATGGTGGGAAGGATAATATAAGCATTAATCATATTTAGGAGGGTCGAGTGTTTGATGGGAAAATAATTTTCTTTTTCTAATCTAAACTTCAGAAAAGTTCAGACAAGGTATTTTGCTTGGCACATAAGTGAGCTAAATTCAACAAAACGTAACATAAAGAAAGGATGAATCAAACAGACATGTATACAAAGATTCCCATGTACACACAAACATGTGATTGATGAAAAGAAAAAAAAAAGAAACTTTGTGGACAAAGCGTCCATCAATCCCTAAATTATGAATTCTTGATTCCTTCTAAACAAAACACACAACCTGCCTTTGTGTAGGGACACAGCTTGTGTTAACATGGATGCTTTGGGGACAAGTATAGTATAGACACCACTGATGATACCCTATTGCACTGGTCCAAATAGTGTTCGTCACCGGAATCTAATATTTACTCCTCGTCCCCTGAACTCCAGAGTTACCGCATTATATCACTGACACACACGTGACATGATAGATGGAGGAGAAATTAAGATTCACTTTTCACAGCTCAATTAACTGGAAAAAGAAAATGGTGCAATAAACTATTCTGTATCGTGCTAACTGAAATTACAAAATATTGCTTTTCATAAAATCTTTCTTTCAGATAAAAAACAAAACAAAAAACTAAATTGTCGTCAACACTATTTGTTCTTTGCCCGAACTGGGAAAGGGAAGAAGCGTGTGTGGAAGCAGAGTACACGCTGGCAATATATCCCAATCTTACACAGAACTGAGCGTGAGGACAAACTCAGTGTTCAATATTGATGGTGTGTGTGTGTGTGTGTATATAACGGGACACATTCAACAAATCAAATAAATTATTGTTCATGGCGTTGGATTAGTTGAGCTCATCTTGTTGAAGTTACTCCATCCGCTGTTGGAGCAGTGCGGTGGTGTACAAGATAAACGCAGAGTCTTTGCAGGCGGGCGGGTGTTAGAACTCGTCATGTCGAGTCAGAGCTTCTCCAAAATCGGTCGCCTGACTGCCCACGAACAGATTGTACTTATCCACGATTTCTGCCTTGGTCAGACGGCCGTCCTGATGGAGAGAGAACAACACACGACAGGACTTGTGTCAGTACACAAAGAGCAGTGTTTCCCCCACCGATGAACAAGGAAGTGGGGGGGGGGGGGGGGGGGACAATACATATCCGATGACATATCTTCCAGTACATACTTTGTCTGCGTCAGACTCATAGACCAGATGCTTGGCCTCGGCGTCAGCGTGGTCGTAGTCACTGGGCAGGATCCAGTCCCTGGTCTCCTCCTTGTCCATCTTTCCGTCTTTGTTTTTGTCTCTGAACTCGGTAAACTGTTCCCTCTCCGTCTTCACCCACTCAGGCTCTGAGGCATCTCCCTCCTGGTTGTACATGTCACCTACAGCACAGAAGGAGGGTGTTGTTGTGTTGCCACACTCAATACGCTTTCCTGCATCTTGCGCTTTCACCAAATACAAAAAAAGTGTGAGGTATAAATTGATGGTGCTTATATAAAAAATGAACTTAAACTTACCTATGTACTCGTCTAAATCTATTAAACCATCTGCATTCTTGTCGATGTCTTCCATAGTTTCCTATTGCAAGAAAAGAGAACGCAGAGCAGTAAGAAGTGCAACGATGCTGGTGTGATCAATTAACAGCGGGGTGCGTAAATCACTCACCAGTACTACAATGTCTTTCATGTGGTCGTACTCCTCAGGGTGAAGGAAGGCCGTAAACTCCTCCTTGTTGGCTATCAAGTCGTTGTCTTGGTCAGCCATTTTGAACCTTCTCTCATCGCGAGCCATCATCTGCCTGTAGCTGAAGCCATCATCGGGGTCGGGATCATCTGCAAGTCAGCGGTCACATCTTTGTATAGTGTGTGGATGCGTATGCGGCAAATTTGTTTCTGTGTCCATTGCGTGCACAGGGAATACATCAACTGTGTGAAAAGAAAATATGTCTGCAGCTATACCCAGGATGTATCCATACGTGGCGTTTTTGTACTCCTCCCAGGAGACCACGTCATCCCCATTTAAGTCATGACTCTTCCACTGTCGATCCACATCATCGTAGATCCACTTCTTCTGCGCATGCTTGATCCACTTCTTCATCTCCTCAACAGTGACGTAGCCATCCTTATCGTCATCTATACGCTCAACTAACATGCTGTGGGTAAATGAAAGAAATATGGCAAACATGCAGCGCGTTCATATGGGGTCACCTCAGACAAACTTCACTGCTGTTTGAGGAAAAACTTGGGCATTACCGCGGTGACTTTTAATAGTCTTTCAAGAGCAGATATGCACAATTTCCCTGACAGGTTGTCTTACCCGAGTCTCTCCTTGCTCTCCTCCGGTGTGAGCTGGTCAAAGGTCTTGGCCTCCTCTTGTCCCAGAAAAGCTTCGTGGTCGTAGTCAAAGTTCTCTATATCATCGTGATCTCTGTTGCTGAGGGGTTCATCGTGGTGGACGCGTTCTTTCTTCTCGGTGGGTTTACTGGTGGCGTAAACCACACAGAGAGCAAAGCACATAACAAGTGGTCGCAGCTCCATCCTGCGTATGTGCAGCAACATCTGGGCAACGGGAACACAAAGAGGACACACAGAGAAGGTTGTGATGACTGCAGCGCTCAAACGGGGCGATCTGCTTTAAGTTTTGTATTGCATGCCAATCTCAGCTGACCGGGGGTTTTGAATTAGGGAAACTAAACTCAACTCAAATCTGCTGTAACTTGCAATTATCTAAACTGAGAATTATTTCATTATAAGATGATCTTTTATCTGATTAGCATGAATTCTAAAGCAGTATTGGGAGGAAAATATCATATCATCATCGACTATGCAACATTGCGCTTTCGTATGACACAGACAGTGTCGGTAGTCTCACTTTAGTAAGTTAACGTTACGTCTCAAGAAGTTAAAACTCGCCACCCCTTGATGAATTAGGACAGTTTGAAAGCGTGACGTCACCCGTTAATTAACCTTCCAAAACCAGAGGACTGACATTAACGTTAGACTGGCTAACCTAGCGTACCGTTATTTCTTCAGCGACCCTTCAACTGCTCGTCTGATGAATGCAAATAAGCAGAAACGTAACTGTCTGTGTTCCGTTGTTGTTAAACAACAGCTACATAAGAGACAATTTTCAATTACTTTTGTTTGTATTTTAAAACACAATTTTTAAGAGAACTCACCGGTGTCTTCAGGGAAGTTCGTCGATACAGTTTAAGGCCCTCCCCTCGGAAACACACCCAGGCACTTCCTGCGCTGCGATGACGAACAACGCGACCGACCAATCAGGCGCTCAGACAGCCAAGTGCGATGTCGCCAGCTGACTGGTCCGCTTCAAGGGTGCATCGGTGATTGGATTGGCTGAGAAGCGCCACGTCCTCAAAGACAACAAAACTTGGTTCATTGATAAGACAAAACTACAGCGTTTCTAACAGTTAATTGCCACAATTAAAAAAAAAAAGAAATAGGCACTTTTACGTATATTATAGAGATAAACCAATGGCAAACACCTTTACAAATGATCTTTATTTTGTTCATTTACATATTAACTACAGGTTTGCCCATTTAACAAACTCTGTTTTGAAACCAAATGCCAAATTAACACACGTTCTGTGGCAAACATTTAACTAAAACAAATCATCAGCAACAACATAAAAACACAATAACACCCAGACTCAAAAAATAAATAGCCTTTATTTCAGTTGGCTTCACTACAGTAAATCAACAGTCAGTGCAGATGGAACAATGTATCACACGTTTGAAAAAAATGTTCCTAAATACTGAATGTGAAGTATTCCACTCACTTTTTAAAAATTTTGAATGCCCTACTCTTTCCGGTCTCCTCGCAATTTGAGCAAATATCTCACCCTCCGCTGGTTAGATGACAAGTGGAAAACCCCACAAAGCACAATGACAGGACTTCCTGCTGCAAAAGGGTTTGGCACTGCCTTTTCCATGAACCCTGCTTTCTGGAAATATAGGGATATATTCACCTGATTCATTTAAAAAGTGATATTCAACTGTATTTAAACTAAGCATTACATATCAAATGTACTTTTGAGGTTAAGTGAAGAAGGGCGGTTACAT